AATCATACCCATGAGAAACTAGGGAAAGGGCCTTTTTGCACCAGTGACTTAAGGGTCATTTTCACGCACCAGCCAAGACGACCCTTGAGGTTGAAGATGGCGACGCTCGCAGCACGTCCAAATGCTCATCAATGGCGTGCAGCAAGATCGCGCAGAGTTTGGAAATTCAAATCATGCCAGTACCAAAATAACACAAACTTTGGTGATTTGCAAACTAAAGTCATTGAATCGTTCCCATTTCTCGCCTACAATGATTTGTGTACACAGTTTCTTTATATCATACAAAAGGTGAAGAGTCAAAGACTACCATATAAAGACATTAGTTCTCATTGTGAAGCACTCCATCCTAATATACTTTGGCCATTTGCAAAACGTCATAAAATTATTACTATATCGTTTTAACATAATAATGCACCAAAGGGCTATGATTGGACACGGATGTAGGAAGATTCGTGCTAAAATGCCAAGTAACAACACTAGCTTCCAGTTTGGCCATTTACTCAAAATAATTTGGGCTGAATGTCTCTTCCTCCAAACTCAACATTCGCAAAGAATTCGGCCCCAGGAGTCTTAGAATAAGGCAGATGGTGCTCGTTTGGGCTCTGTGTTTTTTTTCCTTTTTGTTTTTCTTTTAACTCTTTTTTTTTATGTCTTACTAATGTGTTTTATAATCTATAAAGTAGCTGGACTGGACCTGGATAACTTGTGTTTAGCAATTATATTCAAAGCTGTCTGTAGTTATTCACTTTTTTTTCCTGAACAACATGACAAGGAAGTCTTACCTGCTGTGTTGTGCATTTTCTGAATGACCACATTTCTTTTTGGAAGTTAAAAATCCCTGAATGATACTAACCTATATGCCAAAAATAAAGGCCATCCATTATCAATACATTTATCATTATGATTTTTCTGCACAGATCTTAACATTAGAAACTTTCAAATATGGCTCTGTTGGTGCAGTTATTAAATGGCAAGCACATAATGTATAAAACTGTCTTTGGTTAGATTAAGCTTTATTTGTAGAGCAAAAAAAAAAAAAAAAGATAATAATAATAATTATAAATATTAATGATAATATAATAATAACCATAATGAAAAAAAAAATCTTTAAAAATGCCGTTGTGAAGGAATGGCATGTCTTCGTAAGCACCAAAGGATTTATTTAATCTATAACGGAATCATTTCCATATTACAAGAATTGCAGTACTCCTCCTCTCACTCATTCAGCCAAGACTCGCAAAAAGGCTACATGATGCAAGTGACAGCGCCTCGGAACTGATGCACAGGAGCAAACAGGAGCATTTTTTGGCCCTCGTTAAATTCACCATCTGTTTCCTTTGCTCTATTTTCTTTTCTTTTCTTTTTCTTTTGGTATGTGTGTGTGTGTTTAAGTGATTTTTTTTTTCTTCTTCTGAGGTATTCTGTAAGTTACAAAACAAATCCCACTGAAGCACTAATTCTTTTTGTTTGTTTTAGTTTTTCACAGTGGACAAAGACACATTTCAACATAATGTAACATTCACAGACACCACTGTACGTTAGACAAACCTTTTTGTCTAAGCTGACTGCACTGCTACGAACAAAGGCCACTTATTATCCAAATAAACAAAAATAATTAAATCAGAACAAAAGAACACAGTATATTTTCTTCCCTGTTCACAAATCCCTACTTCTGTCACCATATAATTAATGTGATGAAATTCATTGAAACAAATTGAAACAAAATGATTCCACATTCCTTGGTAATTGCCTCCAAACAGAAGCTTTCTTATAGTGAACCAATTTTCTGTACATGTTTTAAACTATTAGCATTAACATCTTACATATTCATTGGAAGGTTTATGTAAAATGCTTGATCACTTATGCACTTCTTTAATGCCATATATAAAATCTCTACCAGACCTTAGTAGTAAAAACTGTACTTCAATACACTGCAGAAGCATATAGCTGCTCTATATTGGAAAATTGTCCATAATTATGAGTTTTTAAAAAGTCTGTATATCTACACCGCCATAAACACCTCAAGACATATATATATCTACTCAACTCTTTTTTAATATTTTGTTCATGCATTCTCACTCAAAACACTTGGGTCTTTGGAATAGGAAAAATATAGAGCCTATACCCGACTCTCACTCGCCCTGAAAAACGCACGGGAACTTTGGGCCGTGTCCGAAGTCTGCTCTCCAGAGTCCTCAATAACAGTCACTCCACGATTCGCACTCCCGCCTCTGAAGACAAACTGGTCCCTTCACTATTGTTTTTTTATATCTCTGTGAACACGCCTTCTCGAATGTACGTCGTCTCAAACCATTTCGAGTTTAGTTTGAAACGTCTGAATGAAACAGCGGAACAGCTTTATCACTTCCAATCATCTTTTATTCATTATCAGGTCCCTCATCTGAAGAATGTGATAAGCTTGCCACTCAACATAACGCAGCCTCAGGAACTTCTTCTTGAAACAAATTCTCTCTCTCTCTCTCTCTCTCTCTTGGAACTACGTCCCCTTTAAAAATTCTCAGAATAAAGAAAAACGACGATACTTGTATAAATTAAAAATTCTTTAAAAAAAATAAAGAAAAAAAAAAGAGGAGTACTCCTCCTCTCACTCATTCAGCCAAGACTCGCAAAAAGGCTACATGATGCAAGTGACAGCGCCTCGGAACTGATGCACAGGAGCAAACAGGAGCATTTTTTGGCCCTCGTTAAATTCACCATCTGTTTCCTTTGCTCTATTTTCTTTTCTTTTCTTTTTCTTTTGGTATGTGTGTGTGTGTTTAAGTGATTTTTTTTTCTTCTTCTGAGGTATTCTGTAAGTTACAAAACAAATCCCACTGAAGCACTAATTCTTTTTGTTTGTTTTAGTTTTTCACAGTGGACAAAGACACATTTCAACATAATGTAACATTCACAGACACCACTGTACGTTAGACAAACCTTTTTGTCTAAGCTGACTGCACTGCTACGAACAAAGGCCACTTATTATCCAAATAAACAAAAATAATTAAATCAGAACAAAAGAACACAGTATTTTTCTTCCCTGTTCACAAATCCCTACTTCTGTCACCATATAATTAATGTGATGAAATTCATTGAAACAAATTGAAACAAAATGATTCCACATTCCTTGGTAATTGCCTCCAAACAGAAGCTTTCTTATAGTGAACCAATTTTCTGTACATGTTTTAAACTATTAGCATTAACATCTTACATATTCATTGGAAGGTTTATGTAAAATGCTTGATCACTTATGCACTTCTTTAATGCCATATATAAAATCTCTACCAGACCTTAGTAGTAAAAACTGTACTTCAATACACTGCAGAAGCATATAGCTGCTCTATATTGGAAAATTGTCCATAATTATGAGTTTTTAAAAAGTCTGTATATCTACACCGCCATAAACACCTCAAGACATATATATATCTATATATATATATATAATATATATATATATATAATATATATATATATATCTATATATATATATATATCTATATATATATATATAGATATATATATATATAGATATATATATATATATCTATATATATATATATAATATATATATATATATCTATATATATATATATATATATATATATATATATATATATATATATATATATATATATATATATATATATATATATATATATATATATATATATATATATATATATATATATATATATATATATACAGATACATTTACATATATATGTATATCATATATGTATCATATAATATATATATATATATATATATATATATATATATATATATATATATATATATATATATATATACACACATACATACACACTCAACTGCCTCTGACATAAGCAGCTAATATCAACCATAAGAATCAATGAACTGATAAACAAACATTCCAATCTCTTGTGCATGAAAGTTGGCAAACACAAAACGGACAGCAAGCACACAGCCCAGCTGACTTACAGATTATCTTCCAATTTCTTTTTGATGACGGAGAGGTCCATGGGCTTCTTGATGATCTTCTTGTAGGTGGGGAATTGTCTGGTGTTGACGGGGAGGAGGAAGGGCCACGCATCCTCGTGTCCTTCTAGCTCTTGGACTATGCTTTTGCACGCCTGTAAGTCTCTCTGTTCCTTCTGTAATGTGAGAAAATCAAAACTATGAATTCTCCTTTCCATTCTATCATATTGTTGTATCAAATATCATAAAAGAATTCCATATACCTGCTAACGAGTCATTCATGTTGCATCATCGGTCAACATGGCGTTTCATGCATTTTTTGATGGAGGATCGTAATTTCACTCACTCTTATTCAATACATCCATGAATACACTGTGAATCACTGTTAATTATTTAGATTAATAAGATTAACTCACTAATTAATATGAAATAGTTCCCTGCTAATGCAGACTCTGAGAATTGTACTTGTTATGTAAACATGCAGTGTCCATTTCGTATGGCTAGTATTCTAAAAACAAGTCAAGTAATTCAATTGTTTAAGCACAAGGTATGATTCATCCAGAACTTTTTACTTTCACTTTTTACTGCCTTTCTTGGAAACCTCGATGATGAAAAGCGATTCACGATGCATCTATGATTATTGAATGACAGCAAGTGGAATTACGATCCTCTCTCAAAAAATGCATGAAATGCCATGTTAGCCGATGATGCAACATGAAAGCTTTTCTTTTGACCCATTAATTGTGGAATTAAAAATAGGCAGTAAACTAATTTGTATTAGCGAGTTAATCTAGTTTTTCCTAGTTCTCATCTAGCCCTTTGACACCACCTTATTTTCTTAAATTTTTTATTAACCTCTTTGATTTTTTTTTTTTTTTTTTTTTTTTTTTTGCATATATTCTCTGTTTAATGGGTAAACAACTTGTCCACAGTGAAAAAAAATCAACTGATGAAAATTATGCATATCTATTTTTTTCCAAGTTGGAAGCCCTACTGACCATTTGACATGAGAGGTCCAAGTAGCACTCAAACTGAAAATAAAAATTAGCATTTCCTGTTGAACTTCCTTCATAACTGTGTTGAAAGTGTTAAAAAATAAAAAGTGTTAAAAAATAGGTCATAAAAATATTGAAAAGACAAGGAAAGTATACATAAATAAGTTTATTTTGAAAACTATACTACCTTACATATAATATACATACACACACATATAAATTTCTTAGTGTAAGTGGAATAGCGTCTAAGCATTTTACTACAGTCATCAACAATATGAATACTGGACTTACACAAGCTTGTTAGACGCACTATATAAATATAAGGAATCAATAAAAGAAAATAAAGGAACTTGCAGTTATTTTCTTTTTTCTCTCTCTCTGTCTCATTGGACATTGACCTGTTACTGTCGGGTCACGTGTATAGCCGTCATAACAAACCATGTCATCTGTGGTGTACAGCTATACACGTAGGGGGAAGTTCTGCTACACGAAGCGGACTCCCGTGCCCAGCTGCTGGACATTGCCAGAAATAACAAGAGTCTATGACACCGAGAGATTTCTAATAGGTGCTTATGAATTCATTAAAACAATAAATGAAACAAAAATGTAATTGGGTAAAAAACATACAAGGCATCACAAAAAGTGGTTAGCCCTAAAGACCACCTGACATCAAAGGGTTAAATATGATTTACATCCACAGGCCGGATTATGTTCTCATCAGCAAGAACAAAGAGAGTATCATGTCTGCATTTGAAACATGAATATTAGATTACACAATATAATCCGGGCAATGCATCTAGCTTTTCCGTACCTTCTTGTTGGCTCTCTCCTTTTTGCTTGACGAGACCGGGGTTGAGGGCTGAGCCTCATCAATGCCGTCCTGCGAAACATCCAAGGGTGTGGTACTGTTGTTGGCCGCCCCCTGGGTGTTGCTCTCACTCACTTTCTTCGCGCGCCCTCTTCGCCCTCGGGGACTCTTGCTGGTGCAGGCTGGACACACCCACTTGTTGCGAGGTACCTGTCAGACAACCAGAGGGTCAGCTGCTCTCGTGCTTTGTTGAATACTTATTGGAATATTGAACTTATTGTCAGTTTACATCTTGTACAAACAGTGTTATAAAACTCCAATATGCAAGATCACTTTCAGTTCAATAGTACCTCATGACAAGGACACTTACCTTAGAAAGGTTAGGAGTGATACAGGTGGTGTGATAAGCTCTTGGACAGACCGAGCAGTGGACGAGTGTCCGGCCCTCCGTCCCGCCACACACCAGGCAGTGCCGTTGCGAACTATCACTAAATTTGTTGACGCATTCATAACAGTACCTACAAAAAAGCATCATAAGTACATACACACATTATGATACAAGCATGCACTTACTAGTCTCATTTTTCCTTGTTTGCAAGAGACTGACAGTTAAAAATTATTTCTGGATTCAAAGCTACCTTTAATATGTAATTCAAGGCATATTTCTTCAATACCAAAAGTTAATAAATACACCAATAATAATAATAATAATAAAAAGAGGAAATCCATTCTCAACCGAGGGATTTCACACCAACAGACGCAGTACATACCAGTCACCCTCAGGAATGTTATTCATTGGTGGTTTAAAGCAGTGTGTGTGGTAGCCCTTGTCGCAGCCGTCGCAGAGCAAGCAGCTTCTCCTCATGATCTCCACTGTGGCAGAACTGGCAGTACTGGAGGAGAAAAAAGACAAGAACAATGAAACTAGTGCAGGCAAACATTTGGTAATCAAAGAAAACATTTTCTTAATTACAGGCAAACATTAATAATTTTTACGTAAACACTTGTTAATCACATGTAAATATTTGTTAATTACATGTGAATATTTGTTAATCATATGTAAATATTAGGCTATATGTGAACAATACCATTATACAGATTTGGCTTCCCAAGTTATCATAACAAATGTAGGGACTTTACTCCTATCAAGGAAAAAAATATGCATACTAGTCCTAAAACCTGATCACTTCTGCAAACGTGCAACCCATAATCTTATCCGCAGACACTTACTGCTTTCATTATGCTTTTGTCCCAAGCAACAGCCGTCTCCAGCATATAGGTGCACATTGCCAGTTGCGCAGCCGTTTCGGACTTGGCCACCGCCTCCCGCCACACCTGCAGGCCCTTCGGAGATTCCTTGGACTCCGATGTCGTTTCGTTCTTTGGGTTCACTGGTATTCCTGAATATTTAAAAAAAAGGTTTGGGGTAAACAGCTTGACAGGATTTCAGTTGGATTCTGAGTGTTGAAGGGGATTCTTACTGATGCGATATCCTTCAAAATCACACCAGATATCGTGACACTGGAAATCTGAATTCTTCAAACTACCTGAAGGACTCAAACCTACTTCCAAAGAACTCCTTAAAAATGCACGATTGTGTATGTCTCAATAAAAATGTCAAGAACAATCACAAAGAGAAGAAAGGAAAGAAAGTTGCCAGAGGAAAATTGAAAAGGAAAGAACTATCAGCAGCCAATGGTTCCTGTACCTAGAGGTGGCTTGAGGTATCTTCTTTCGATGCCCTCCTCGAGCGCCAGGAGTCTCTCTCGTCCCACATGGATGGGGTTCAGGCGCACGTCGTTCTCGTCTACAGGAGAGAGGCAAGATGCGCGAAATTCACCCATGTGCTTTTCTCCATTCTCGCCCAGACGCCAACTCTGAAATTTTTAAAAGGTGTTGACGAAGACTCAAAGAAGTCTGTTAACTGCTCTGAATGACAATATTTTTCATATAAACAGATATTCGTCATTCAAGGGAACTCCTTATCCTCTTTTGTAAAAAAGAAGAAAAAGATGGATGATGGTGAGAACGTAAGAAAGAAAGAAAAATAATACAAAGAAAAATAATAAATGCCAGTAATAACAACATGAGAAAAGAAACAAGGAAGAAAGAGACTAAGTAAATAAATAGAAAAGAGGGAGAGAAGACTGGAAAAAAAAAAAAAAAAAATTTGCACACACCGAGCTTCGCACCTTATTCTGCATAGATGCATTAGTGATCTTCTCCTCCATCGCGTAAACAGTGTCCAGCACGAGAAGATCCACCTTGAGTGCGATCTCCGGTGACCAGTGTGCGGGTTCATCGGCCACTGGGGTTCCGTACTCATCGAAGAAAACCTTCTCGTCCTCCTCGGCGTCGGGTTCTAGGGTCACCGTCTCTGGGTCGATCTGCCGCCGCAGAAAATAACGAGGGATAAGATTAGGGTTTATAAGAGTGGTTCGTGAGGAAGGAGGGGGACTCTTAGGGTCAGAAGCTGGAAAGCTTTGAATTTTCTTTATGTTCTCTCTTTCCTTCCGATAACATATAAAAAGAAGATTAACTGTACCTAAAATTATGATGACTTAACCTAATCAGTATATAAATACACACACCCACTCACTCACACACACACTCACACACACACACACACACACACACACTCACACACACACACACACACACACACATATGTACACATACATACACAAACATACATACATACATACACACATGCGCACACACACGCACACACATCTATATATATATATATATCTCAGGCTAATATCAAAATCAAATCTGATCTAGAATGGAAAGTGACATCCTTTACAAGTCCTTAAAGACAAAGCCTCCACACGGTGACCAGCAGGTGTCTAATGGAACAACATTCAGTAGAAAAAAAAGGTATCACTCTAGCCCGGACGGCACTAGAACACAAAGCGACTCATAGTGTGACTACCAAGAAGAACTGCCAACACTGAGAGGTCTCTGAATCTATTTGAATGCTTTTACAATGCTTTAAGAATGCTTTTTAATCTATGCTTGTGCAGAGAATTCCTGTACAGACTATACTTTCTGCCAACTCAAGCAACAATGGACTATATTGCTGCCTAATGCAGAATAGGTAAACAATAATCAAAATGAAGGTAGACTTTCCCGCAAATTATAAATCTTGTGTAAATATCATAAAATAAATGAATAGTCTCAATTACAGAACATAAAGCAAAGAAAAGAAAAAAGAAAAGAAAAGAAAAGAAAAAAGAACAGCAAATATTATTTAACAAGAAATACATAAAATAAAATAAATATATATATATATATATAAATATACCAAAACAAACTCAAATCAACTCATACCAACAGAGTCCCATCAGTCTAAGATGAAATCAACATATTGACTCATTTCTCATCTAGACAACATCAAGGTCGATGCTCTATGCCTCAGTTCTAGTTACATTCAGACTAACTCTAAAGCCAGCCTTGAACGTCCCCCTTTCTGATGCGCTCTTCCCTTCCTCTTGGGCAGTGCTCGGTGCATGAGTCACTGCTTCTATTTAATTTCCATTTTACCATAAAATAACAACAATAATAATACTAAAAATAAACACTAACAATGATAATAATAATAGTATTTGTAATGATAATAATAATAACAATGATGATGATGATGATGATGATGATGATGATGATAGTGATGGTGGTAATGATAATAATGATGATGGTGGTGATGATGATAGTAACAGTAATAATAACAACAATGTCAACCATACAAATAAAATAATTAGAATGCTAAGCCCAATGTTTATACGTTTCCCAACCAATCAGTTCAAGAAAATTTTCCTTGCCCGTCTCAAACGACCCGAGATCGGGACCAGCACAAGTATCCCATTCCGAAGCTGCATCAGGAAGGCGGATTGTTCAAATCCTGCTATAATTCACAGAGAAAAAGAAGCAAGAGTGGATACTAGTTGCCAAAAGAAAAAGAAAAACGAAACAAAAAGAAAGGAAAGGTAAAGACAAAAAAGAAAGATCACATTCCATGAATATGCTGCAACAGAGGCTCAAAAAGCAAGTTGAAGAGTTCGTGACATGATACTGTGAAGTGCTTCTAGGGGAGGCCCTTATCATCCGAACCATTGAATTTTCATTCTCTCTTCATCTCTCTCTTCGTCTCTTTGGTAATCTATCTCTTTAAGTTCTTAAGGAGAGCTCGAGTGTTTAAGTTGCAGGCGGAGGATTTCTGAGATTCTGTAAATCAGCCTCTGTGGGCAAGTTGTGAATTTTTCCCTTTCTAAAAAGTAATGGTAAAAAGTTACTATCTTCACACTCCTTGAAATCAATATCAGAAGAAAAACAATGTTGTCAAATTCAAATAATCAAATAAAATATACAAATAGGTATATTCCAATGAATATACATCACTGCAGTTGTAATTATCACTGCTAAGCTTTTGGTGTGTCCGAGCATCAATAATTTCTTCTTCAAAGACACATTTGACGGGCATTCCACAACCATAATATGGTCAACTACTCACAAATGGTAAGGTTCATGCTTGTTACCAGAAAACCTCTTAAAGTTAAAAAGAATCCGTCATTCTAGCAACCATTTCCCTGAAGAGGGTTGGGTGAGGGGGCAGGGGGGAGTGGGGGAGGGGATTTCTTGGATATATGGAAACTACTAATAATACTACCAATGATAACAACAGTAGTTAAAAAAAATATATATATATAAATATTTATAACAATGTATAAATAATGAAAAGCAATAACATTAACAAAGAGCACAATCAGTATGTGCCTTCCTCTGTGCAGTGATTTATCTCAGGTGAAACAATTTGAAATCAGAGACAGAAAATGGTCCTCACATGTAAGCAGAGCCACATGGATAGAATCCTTGATAAAAAAATCTAAAATTCAAAATCACATGTACAATAAACGTAAACAGACAACAGTAACAATAGGTGTCTAGTTGCGCAATGAAGGGACCTCTCTTTTTCTCTCTCTCTCTCTCTCTTTTTTTTTCTTTCTTTCTTTCTCTAAATGAAAGACAAATGATCCTTTTATCCAAGAAATCTCCCAAGGGGATCGGAGCCCAAGCCTCAGCTCAATTAGCAGGATTTGACTACCATGCCCCGAGGACTTCAACTCCGCCACTGAGGTGCATCGATGCAACTTTAAGGCGAGATGCAAGAACTAGAGAAGATTTAAGAAAGCCACGAACACTGACGAAAAATGGGATCGGTGTATATTTTTTTTCTCTTTTCCTTTTTTTTTTTGTTAATAATGATTCTCTTATTTACTCACAGGGGTCACCTGAGCCAGTCTGTTTTTGTGTGTCCGCTATGTGAAAGGATTACCACACTCAGACAAACAATGAAAGGTAAGTATATGTCACAAAATCAAAAACTGCTTATGACGGGAGGATGGGAGGAGTCCAGGCTCCTTTCAGCTAACTTTTACGCTGCTATAAAGTCTACAGTTTTTTGTTTGTTTTACGTGTTTAATGCTCAACAACTGTAAGCCCTACCTAAGAACAATGAGTTCTTTCAGATGCAAAATCATTGGGACTCAAACTCCTCAAGACACTATACATATATAAGAAATACTTATATAAGTACATATATTCAATTATGTGATCATGTCTCTCATCTCTAAACAAGGAGGTTAAACAGGCACTTCATACTGAGAGTGGCCAATGCTTTTACTGCCTTTCACTTCCTACAGCTTATGGAACTGAATGCCTTATGTAATTCATGTAGGTAAATACACAGACTAATAATGAGTATGTACACTTACTTTTGCGAGGGCATTCTTCACTATGGTGAAATTCTTTTCAATGAAGCGTTTTAGTTCTCGTTCCCTCACGCCTCTCTCGTTCAGTGCCCCAATCATCTCGCGCAACTGTTCCACATCGGTCACGTGCCACCATCCGGTTTTGTACTCTGTTCATGATGTTTAAAGAAATAAATTATTAGCTAATTAATACATGCAAGGATGTAATACAAGAGCATACTATCTTGCTGTTCTGACATTTCTTATGAGTAAATAATGGAAGTTCATAGAATGAACAGAAGGAAATAACATGACATCAGCCGATATGAATCCATTTTTGTAAAAAATTGCAACTGACCATCTGGGACAGGCAGAGCCTCAGCTGACTGGTGTAATCTCTCGAGCAATTCCCGATGGGACATGCACTGGACACTCCCTGGCATGCTTGATGATACGGGCGTCCCTGACACGGTTGAGTTGCTCAGAGTTCCTGGAGTACTGCACACACTTCCCTGAGTGGCGTTCATACAGATGGGGGTGCTCACAGACCCCGGCGTGGGCACAGCCCCTGGGGTGCTCATTGCCACTGGAGTGCTGGGTACTCCAGGGGTGTTTGCCCCTAAGGGGGTGTTCTGTGGGCCTGGGGTACTGCCTGAATTCTGGGAGACTCCTACAGCAGGGCTTTGTGGCCTGCTGTACCTTGAAAAGGGCGAGGCCTCCCGAGGGGATCCTCTAGGGGTGGCCTGGGGAGTCTGGTTGGCTGGCAGTGCTTCCAGGGACGAGACATCACAGGGTATGCGCGGCAGTAGGCTGAAGCTCAACTTCTCCCGCTGGGCAACATGCTCGGGTCTCAGGTACTGCCCGGGAACGAGGCCGAGCCCCGTCGCCAAAAGGTTCTGGTCAATTCCTTCACTGCTTCCCGAGGGGTTGCCCTCCTTCAGGCCATTGACCATGTAGGGATTAAGTCCAGCATTGATCAGCGAAGAGTACACTTCACTGGTCGTGTTTCCGTTGGCTTTGGATTCGTTCACACCATTCAGGTTATCGTTCTTTGTCTCCTCCAGTTTTTCAATTTCTTCTTTACACTTTTCTGTTCGTTTTGGAATATCAGGCACTTCAAAATCATCCTCTTCCTTCACCTGGCCATTCAGAGGCGGCTTCACATCCACCTCCTCCTTCTCAACACTCCCCACACATGCCTCCTCGCCCGCCTCCTTCTTCACCTCGCTCTCTGTCTTCACCACTTCCATCTGCTCCTCCTTCACAACCGGCTCCTCCTTGACCTCGCTCTTCCGCTCTTCCTTGATCTTCTCCTTCTTGATCTGGTCCTCCTTCAGCTTCTCCGTTATCTCCTCTAGGGTGTAGCCGACCTTCCCTCCTGCCGGGGGAACCGTGACGGGGAAATGCTCCCTTCCGGTGTAGTCACACGATGACAGGCCTTCCAGGAAGGGACCTCCGGCATGAGGCAACACCCACATCGTCCGCTGAGATGGGAAATTAAATTAAAATTGTAAGGTCGTCATACTCTGAGGCACTTTCTCGAGTTCATATTAAAAAATGAATGAGAAAATCTAGACACTGATGATATTAGGATTTTCAAATTTGTTTTTTATAAACATACATGAAATATAAACTTTTGAAATGTATTTTAACCGAAGGCAAATTAAGATGCAAAAACAAGGATATTGGTGCCTCTAACCATCCAATCAGCAAAGAGAAAACAATTGTCACACATCCAAATCCCTTCACAGGAAAAATACATAAAAAAAAGCCCATATAAAATCACGTCACACAAAAAACAAATCGTAAGCACAGCACATAACCCCATCACCTCAAAGAGAATAAAAGAAGAAAAGCAATATACCTATAAACACGAAACCCACTCACCTGGAACCTATCTTGGCCACAGTTGAAACCTCGCACTTGCTGGGCTGTGTCAAAGAGCTCCTGCCGCACCTGGTTCATCTGACGCTGGAGGAGCTCTAGGGTCTTGGATGCATCGTCCGCATTGAGGTGTTTGTCATCCTCCTGCGAAGGGGAGAAAAAGGAGGCACGCATTGGTGGGGACTGCTTGGGGTGGGCTTGGATGGGTCTGTCTCTGGGGGAGGAAGGGGGGAGGGGGGAGGAGATAAGGGGATGGTGGAGGTGATGGGGTGATGGTGGAGATGGGGGGAGGGGGGAAGAGATGGGGGGAGGGAATAGGGGAAAGAGTAGAAAGAGTAGGGGGTGGTCTCATAAGAAAGCAAGGAACATGGAAAAGAAAAATAGGAGATAGAGAAAGAGAGGGAGAACTGATGTAATATATATATATATATATAATATATATATATATATATATATAAATAAATATAAATAAATATAAATAAATATAAATAAATATAAATAAATATAAATAAATATAAATAAATATAAATAAATATAAATAAATATAAATAAATATAAATAAATATAAATAAATATAAATAAATATAAATAAATATAAATAAATATAAATAAATATAAATAAATATAAATAAATATAAATAAATATAAATAAATATAAATAAATATAAATAAATATAAATAAATATAAATAAATATAAATAAATATAAATAAATATAAATAAATATAAATAAATATAAATAAATATAAATAAATATAAATAAATATAAATAAATATAAATAAATATAAATAAATATAAATAAATATAAATAAATATAAATAAATATAAATAAATATAAATAAATATAAATAAATATAAATAAATATAAATAAATATAAATAAATATAAATAAATATAAATAAATATAAATAAATATAAATAAATATAAATAAATATAAATAAATATAAATAAATATAAATAAATATAAATAAATATAAATAAATATAAATAAATATAAATAAATATAAATAAATATAAATAAATATAAATAAATATAAATAAATATAAATAAATATAAATAAATATAAATAAATATAAATAAATATAAATAAATATAAATAAATATAAATAAATATAAATAAATATAAATAAATATAAATAAATATAAATAAATATAAATAAATATAAATAAATATAAATAAATATAAATAAATATAAATAAATATAAATAAATATAAATAAATATAAATAAATATAAATAAATATAAATAAATAAATAAATATAAATAAATATAAATAAATATAAATAAATATAAATAAATATAAATAAATATAAATAAATATAAATAAATATAAATAAATATAAATAAATATAAATAAATATAAATAAATATAAATAAATATAAATAAATATAAATAAATATAAATAAATATAAATAAATATAAATAAATATAAATAAATATAAATAAATATATATATATATATATATAATATATATACTATATATGGAAAGCATGGAAATAAAACAAAGTAGAAGACAAAAAACAGAATAAAGAGGAAGGACAATGGGGGTGGGGGTGGGTGGGGGGGGATGTTTAAAGGTAAGCAATGACTAAGAAAAGAAAAAAGTATAGGTAAAGGGGAAAGACCTAAGCAGGATGCCAAGTCTGGAAATGCCATACTCACACCGAGCTTAGTTTACCAATTTTCTTTCCACATTGACGGCTCCACAAGTGCTTCTCCAGCAGTGAGTCCATCAACAGCCTGACCTACCTCACCTGTTTTCCCTTTTCCTTGATTTTTGGAAATATTATATCTTTATCTTATACTACTCTCAGTATTGTTAATAACTCATGACGTCATTAATAATAAAGCCATCGATATTAATAGCACCAGAATCATGACGTCATTAATAATAAAGCCATCGATATTAATAGCACCAGAAAAAAAAAAGTTCTACACAAAACCTCTGGAAGGGGAAAATCAGGCTAGAGTGCACTGAGAGGAAAGTCCCGCTACATGTAGGGGACTCCTGGGCTAAACGGCAGGACGGTTACCTGAAGCCTCTGGAGTCAGCAACACAGAGAGATTTCTGATACAGTCACTAACGGGTTATAAAGAACCATCTATGTGTAGATACATTTCAAAAGACAAAACTATAGTGAAAGTCACATATTCCTAGTGGCATTGGGGAAAGAAGGAGAACAAGAGAACTTTATTTGACAATTAATTTGCCTAAATAATACCATCTAGTATCAGTAATCAATATTAATATCGTTAGCTGCATCTGGCCTATTCTAACAATTAGAGAATGCAACAATCTGTCCTTAACTGCAGTCTTATCATCTAACCCTTATAAGGTATAAGGTATAAGGTATAAGGTATAAGGTATAAGGTATAAGGTATAAGGTATAAGGTATAAGGTATAAGGTATAAGGTATAAGGTATAAGGTATAAGGTATAAGGTATAAGGTATAAGGTATAAGGTATAAGGTATAAGGTATAAGGTATAAGGTATAAGGTATAAGGTATAAGGTATAAGGTATAAGGTATAAGGTATAAGGTATAAGGTATAAGGTATAAGGTATAAGGTATAAGGTATAAGGTATAAGGTATAAGGTATAAGGTATAAGGTATAAGGTATAAGGTATAAGGTATAAGGTATAAGGTATAAGGTATAAGGTATAAGGTATAAGGTATAAGGTATAAGGTATAAGGTATAAGGTATAAGGTATAAGGTATAAGGTATAAGGTATAAGGTATAAGGTATAAGGTATAAGGTATAAGGTATAAGGTATAAGGTATAAGGTATAAGGTATAAGGTATAAGGTATAAGGTATAAGGTATAAGGTATAAGGTATAAGGTATAAGGTATAAGGTATAAGGTATAAGGTATAAGGTATAAGGTATAAGGTATAAGGTATAAGGTATAAGGTATAAGGTATAAGGTATAAGGTATAAGGTATAAGGTATAAGGTATAAGGTATAAGGTATAAGGTATAAGGTATAAGGTATAAGGTATAAGGTATAAGGTATAAGGTATAAGGTATAAGGTATAAGGTATAAGGTATAAGGTATAAGGTATAAGGTATAAGGTATAAGGTATAAGGTATAAGGTATAAGGTATAAGGTATAAGGTATAAGGTATAAGGTATAAGGTATAAGGTATAAGGTATAAGGTATAAGGTATAAGGTATAAGGTATAAGGTATAAGGTATAAGGTATAAGGTATAAGGTATAAGGTATAAGGTATAAGGTATAAGGTATAAGGTATAAGGTATAAGGTATAAGGTATAAGGTATAAGGTATAAGGTATAAGGTATAAGGTATAAGGTATAAGGTATAAGGTATAAGGTATAAGGTATAAGGTATAAGGTATAAGGTATAAGGTATAAGGTATAAGGTATAAGGTATAAGGTATAAGGTATAAGGTATAAGGTATAAGGTATAAGGTATAAGGTATAAGGTATAAGGTATAAGGTATAAGGTATAAGGTATAAGGTATAAGGTATAAGGTATAAGGTATAAGGTATAAGGTATAAGGTATAAGGTATAAGGTATAAGGTATAAGGTATAAGGTATAAGGTATAAGGTATAAGGTATAAGGTATAAGGTATAAGGTATAAGGTATAAGGTATAAGGTATAAGGTATAAGGTATAAGGTATAAGGTATAAGGTATAAGGTATAAGGTATAAGGTATAAGGTATAAGGTATAAGGTATAAGGTATAAGGTATAAGGTATAAGGTATAAGGTATAAGGTATAAGGTATAAGGTATAAGGTATAAGGTATAAGGTATAAGGTATAAGGTATAAGGTATAAGGTATAAGGTATAAGGTATAAGGTATAAGGTATAAGGTATAAGGTATAAGGTATAAGGTATAAGGTATAAGGTATAAGGTATAAGGTATAAGGTATAAGGTTTAAGGTATACAGGTAAGGTATAAGGTATAAGGTATATCTTCAAAACACTAAATGCAGGACACACACACACACACACATACTACACACTTCGTCACAGCATCCAGTCTCAAAGTGATATCAAAACCAAATGCCAGAGAATCCATACTGGTAAAATTAATATAATCACGAAATTTCTGGCTTTGTCTCAACCTCACCAGTAGGAGTTATGATTTCCATTTAGTACAAATCAATCCAATCCAACTAAAACGGTGCAAAACCAAGACGCAATCACACCAATTCGCTGTCACGCACCTCGTCTGGAATCTCCTCCATGTTGTCGCTCTCGTTGCCGCTTTCATTCTCCTCCTCCTCTTCCTCCTCCTCCTCCTCCTTCATCTTGTCCTCTTCCTTATCCTTCTTCTCTCCTTTCTCTTGTTCTCCCTGGCAGGATGAGATGCCAGAGATGTTGGACATGTTTGAGTCCTCTCCCCTGTGCTCCATCATGGACCTCATGGCCGCGTTGTAGATTCTCTTGCGGGCGACACTCCTACGCAGTCTGAAGGGCAAGAAATTTCTTAATGTAGATGCGTAGGTATAACAGAGCCACTATAAGTGTTTTTGTCTGACTTCTGGAGAGACAGAAAATGTAGTGGTTCTCTTTTGAAATGAGGAAAGGAAAAAAATAAAGAAAATAAATAGTTATGAAAAAAATATGTGATTACAGATTCAAGGTCTGGAAGTAAAAAAAGCTTTAGACAACATTCACCAACTTACAATTCACATAAAAACACTGTTCAGCACAGTTCACGTGACAAATTCCTGTCTCTTTCTATCAATGTCAACTGTGAAGAAGAAAAAACTTCCAGACAGGACACAATTTGTCACTGCCATTCCCAAACTCACTTTCTGATCCTGGCATCCAGCTTCCACTTCTCCGTCTTGAGGCCGTTGTGTCTATCAAGCGACTCTTCAATCTGCCGCACGACTGCCTTGTTCTGCAGGAGCTCATTGCACACGTAGGCCACAATCTCACTCTTCTGAGTCGGATTGAGGGCGAGGAAGGGCAGGTGCATCAGCCACTGGGACATCTTGTAAGCATCCATCTCCGCCAGCTTTGCGTCCCATTCCTGGGCCTTTTTGGGGTTTTCGCGACGCTCCTTCTCTGTGCCCAGGAGGCCATGAATGATGCGAACCTGCAAAGAGTACGTGGGAAAATGCTCATTCTTTGTGGGCTAAATATCAATACTGCAAAAGAGAATTATAAAGAACATCTAACATAAGAAAGGAAACTTCTATTTCTTGAAGCTGTAGGAAAGAAGATGAAGAAGAGGAAATAAGAGGAAAAATATCAAAACATGCTGATTATAGTACATATAATACTTGAACCCCAAAATAAGTATTACAATATTAAAAAAAAAAAAAAAAAAAAAAAAAAAATATTGGCACAGGCCCTTCTTCCACCTAACCATTAAGACCCCAACAAACTCACCTCGCCTGTGGCATTGGCATTCAGGTAAACTCTCAAGATTTCAGAAATGTTGGCGTGCGTGATGTCAGCTCTGTTTAGGGTCTGGCCCAGGATGGTGGTATGCCGCTGTGCAGATGGTATTCCTGGATCTTCAATGGCACATACAAGCAAGTGAGACAGTACACTCAAGAGCTCCTCCTCGCTTTCATTATCATTCAGGAGAGCCATCTGCAAGCTCTGAATTGATGGTAGCGACTCCATGTCTGGAATGAGAATAAAGAAAATTAACATCTAAACATACTAAACTCACTCCTAATATAGTCGGTATCACACACTAATACACGTTTTTTCTTAGTCCTATAACATGAGTATAAAGCCCACTCATATGTATCTCCATTTGAAATTCTAAAAATCTTCTCAATGTTAACAAAATGAACATCATGAAACAATAATTTGGCATTACAGATAAGGCAGAGAGGGAAAAATCTTAAATACCAAAGCCAAAGAAGAACCACACTAGAGAGGAAAAGAAAAGAAAAGAAAAGAAAAAAGAAAGAAAAAAAAGATGAAGAGAATAAAATAAAAAATGCATTAGCAAGCTAAAACTAAACTAAAAGAAAAACTAATGACAACACCTACCGAACCCTAAGGTTTCCCCGAAATTGTGCAGGAACTCAAAAACCATGAGGATGTTTCCGAATGCCTCTGGGGGCAGTCTCAGGCCATCGAGACGGGAGATCTCGGGCAGGTCAGTGTGGTCCGTCAGTTCCATGTCCTCCTTCACCTCCTTCATAAGCTGGTGGATCTCCCGCGCCTGCAAGCGCTCTTCACGTTTTCTGCAATGGAGGATAAGGCTCACCTATACCGCCTTGGAAAATTGGGATAGGAATTGCTTATATGACAGAAGGACTCCCTGAAGGTACTACTAATCTTGGTTGCAAACCATTTACAACATCAGACTTGACTGACTCTTAACACCACAAAATCTTAAATTCAAACATATCTTTCTTCAAGTCCATTTCTTCACTTTTTCTTTCCCAGGAATGGCTCTCCCTAACACACTCCTTAGCCTTCCTTTCCCCTTCTCCCCTTCTTTTCATCAACTTCCTCTCCAAGGCCCAATCATCAAGGTCATAACCCTCTCCTACCTTTCTCTGGTCGCCCTCTTCTCTTCCTTCATCTCCTCTCTCCGTCTTTCTCTCTCCTCGTATCTTTTCCTCGCTTCAATGGCGCGCACTAGAACGCCATGGTATCTCCTCCTCTCTCGCTCCTGGTCACGGAGAAGGTAAGGAGAGAAAAGGAATGTAAAGAAAATGATTGCCTTCCAAGAACAAGTAAAACCGTTTAATAAAAATAAAAATACAAAATTTCCTCCCCTAAAAGATAGAAATATTCTTACAAACACCGCAAAAAAAAAAAGAAAAAAGAAAAATCACATTTCACATACATAACTAAAACGCAGAGAACTGAGCCTTGTTGGAATATTATCTGCGGGTTTTACAATCTCAATGTCAGACTGAAATGTTACTATCCCCCCCAATAAACTTAGTGATGAATCTAATGCTTTCAAAAAATTCTAAATATCTACTGGAACTTTTCCATTTCTGGCTCGAGTGCAAAGTGAAGAGCATGGTACAGCTATGATTAATTTTTACATCCTACAATTTTTTTCTCTCTCTCTTACCAAGATGTCACACTGAATGGCAAGTAATCGATAAACTAGTAAGTCTTAATTCATGCTTTTTATTTTCTTTCAGTCACTGGCTTTAGCTCTAAAGGAACTCACTACCAAGAACTTCTGAAACTACAGGGTAATAGATCAGGAAAGTGAATATTGTCCAGCTTCAATACACACCATGTATCATCTCCCTGGTAGAAGCTTTTGTAATCTGATTTTATTAAACAAGTGAGAACATTCTCCGTACATTTCCAATTTTGCACTGAACAACCTGAAAATGCTAGAACAAACATACCAGGAGTGAACAATAATCATAGAAGAAAGTACAGTTTATTATGTTAAGAGAAACTTCATTACCATGCTCTTCTGACAGCTTGAAAACCTCCATTAAATCTGATTTATCCTCTGCCTTCAAGGAAAAATTACAAGTATAAATATATTAGTGAAAAACTAAGTACCAGTTTATAAACCTCTTTCTGTTTTCTGTTAGTTCAAGCATGTACACAAAATAACTACTACATCATACAAATAACAAAGAGTCTAGGAAGCTATTAATTGCAATACATTACCAAGTTACACATTAGTTATCATTAACAGACCCCTAGGTAATGCATGCAAGCACCTGTGCCGGATGAAAAACTTGCGAGAGGACTGATTAGGATAACCACTGAACCGTCTGTGATGAACTAGTCTATCATCAAAAGCAAAAAAGGAAAAAAATAGGGGGGAACTTGTCTCCAATTTTGTCTTGCTGTTCATTCTTCTCTTGAAACCAATCAACCAAAACAAGGAAGGGAGAAGTCACAAGCACAAATCCCATTCCAACTCATAATTTAACAAATACAGCCTAAGATCTCTTTCCCATTACAGCCGAGTGCAAATACGTCCTTGGCCAAATCAAGTGAAAAGGGTGTAAGGGACATCGACCCCCAACGCAAACAGCAATCAGTGTCCTTCTTAATCAACCTCTCTTCCGCTACAAACAACCACACACTGGCAGTCAACCCTCTACGACTGGCCACGCGCACAGAGCACAACAAGCATTACATCATGCAAAGCTACACAATGCGAACTTACCTGCTCATCTTCAAGGGAAAAAAATAATCTCTCACTCGTCAACATTAAATGAAGGAGCAAGACAATAATGGGATCTGAAGGGCAGGAAGCAAGCAGGAAGCAAGCAGGAATGCATTAGATTACACAAAACAATGTAACAATGAACAGTTTCACAAGTGCCTGGGAAATGCTGTCAGGGACGTACTCTGGTTTAGCCTAATCATTCGCATCTGGCTCTTTGGATCAAGAATAAACCTCTCTGCATTCTCTTTTTACCATTACCTACAATTCATTCTTTCTAGTCTAATAAATCATATTTCCTTTTTGTGAGCATGAGTAAATGCAGACAAGTTCAGTATACCAATCTACCTTTAATTTTGGACATCAATCTAAATTTATATATTCATTAAAGTAAGCATGTCTTTACAATATCTATTCTCTAAAAGATTATTATAGGCAAATTCACTCTCTTGTATTTAAGGGACAAAGTTAGCATCAGTCATCCCTCTGAAGTCAACCCAAAATCCAAGGTTCTGATTATCTAAACGTCAAATTATTATATTTTCTCTCTATCTTCCTCTCTCTTTTTTTTATATTCAATGAAAGACAATGACCAAAACAGCAGCACTTCCCAGGCCTATCAACCACAGATCACATTCTTTTTCCCAGAGAGGTTCAGGCAGTAGTCTCTTCACTTTCACTTCTAATACACATTCACAATCGTTAGTTTCTAGGTGAGGTACTTCATGCAACTACGAAAAATAATGTATTTATATATATAAAAAAAAAAAGTAATCACAACAAATAAAGTAAGAAAAATGATAAATGCATCTACGAGTTCATGCAGTACAGACAAGAGAAAAAAAAGCAGCAATGGTTTCACAATACAATAACTTTTGTGACAAGTGGGGTTTGGGGACACACACAGTAAGGTTGGTGAGGGGGAATACAGGCGCACCGATCAAGTGGCGAGTGTTTCAAACTTTGGTGGTCTGAGGACGGCAGATCGTTAAAGAAAACTTAGGGGATTTGCCTCCTTTCTCAACCGAATATTCCAGCTTGATAAACATTATAGGTGAAGACAATATCTTAATAAAACAAGAGCTAAAATGGTGATCAACTTTCTTCCAAGTATGAATTAACTTTGACAAAGGTTATTATCTAAATATCAATATGTGCTTTATAGGTCCTTGCTAATATCATAAACATCTTCGATTTTGAAAATTGATGCCTCACTTCCTAAAGCAAGTTAGCACTGACTTTACACAACTTAAAAAGTCAATAAAAGATAATTCTTTAAAAAATATCCCTCAGTAAGAAACACCAAGCACGTTTAGAAACACTTGGTCTTCAATCGGTGCGACCTGAGGGTGGAAGGACATACCAGCTCAAGAGTGTAGAGCATTTCACGTTGTTTGTTGAGCTCCTGTAGATACAACTGCGGAACAACAATAATGTCAGAGTGTCAGAGAGTTATGTGATACAATCAGCAGTCATGATTCTAATGCCATGCCACGGCAGTATGATTTTCCCTTTCCTGGTTGTCAAGAAGAAAAAAATACAGCCTAGTGAGGAGACCTTTAGATCATAACTGCTGGCTGTGCCACATAATGTGGGGGCATGCTAATCAACTGTTAAGGCTACATAGTTGAGTGTCGGTGGAGGATTATGAAGAACATTCAAAATGGAAAAAATATAGAAAAGTAAAACCAAATCATTATGTACAAAATAATGAGTTTTTGCAATTGCTGATATAAATCTGCAACATCAAAGAGAGTGAACAATACAGTAATCATAGCAAAATGTCGTGTTTACACAACACAGAAATCATAAAAAGAGGGTACGAGCTTCAATGGAGTACAAAAGCAGATTGCCACGAGTGCACAGCATGTCATACATTCCCCTGATGTGTGTAAACGCTTGAATCCTTTCCGTTTCGCAAGAGATCATCCACCGACCCTCATCAAGTAAGACTCACCGAAGACTTATCACACTGACTGATGGATCAATGACATACATTAACTAGATTTAGATGCTCATGAGTCTTTCCAGGAGCAAGGAAGCCGCAAAGGGCTGCTCCCTCATTCAGGGGGAATTGGTGAAACATTCCTACGGGAGAAATCTACTGTCTCGTATTCAGTGACTTGTGAATTAGTCTCTCTACACTTTCTCTTTGTTATTCTACGTGGTGCCATTCCTACAGCATACAACCTACTAAAATATGAGAGAATACAGAAGCAATGGCTGACGGGGCCAATGTGGTTCCACTGGGGTTGCCATCTGTTCAACTCTGTCACTGAACGCTTTTACTTCCTAAGGAACAACCTTGCAATATGAAAGATCTTTTTTTTGTGATACGGTTCCAAGTGAGAATATATCTATCACTCTTTACCAAGCATTACCTCATCACTGATTTTATTGAATTCTAATGTCAACCTGCTTGAAGATTAGAGAAGCAAATATAAACATGACATCATTCTCTACACTAAGCAACATAGTTTAACACTGAGATAAGCATGACTTTGATCAGAATTACACTTTCCTACCAAAGTTAGATTCATAATGGTTTTCATCGCCACATAACGCTCCTCTTCAGATTAAACCAAATTTGGATGTCTCAGAATGTGCTTGATACTTTAATTTTCATTAGTGTGACTGTGTTTGCAGGGATCGATCATTGTTATAATGCCATTTTATTTACTTCTTTTCAAAGTTTTCTCTTAAAAAGTTTCAACCTAAACTAATGAAGTTTTATATCATAAGCCTGCAGTTTCTACAGCATATCAAGGCAACCCTTCGTTGCATCATCTTTATTTCTCATGTTTACCCCATAGACCCTAAACTCCAACTATGATTTACTTTATTTACATATCCTGAGGAAATTAAATTTACAAGCTTTAATTACAAAGAATTCATTAAATAAACAAACACTGGCACAACCAATCTATCTTCGCATTTGAATTTGTTTTTGTGGGGGGGGGAGGGAATACTACTCACTCTCCCACCTTCCCAAATTCTTTCTCTTTCTTTCACTTGTTTTCACTTCTTCGTAATGAATCACTTACTTTCAAGTATACTAAACACTCTACTTCATACTGGTAAGAATTCTCCCTTCACTTGACATTTGAATTAAGGATTAAAAATCTTATGGGGGGGGGGGAAGGGGAGGGGTACTAGAACAAACGTGAAATACAGAAAAGAGAAAGCATTTACATCAATTATCTATTCCGTGATTATCAAAAATTGATGAAGGAAAGCAACATCAACTCTAGAAAGTTTACATCTTGTCTCAAAGAGGGTTACCTTGCAACTGCCATGCAAAGTGGAGACGGGGCGAGAGGCTGTCTGTGAAAAGTTCTCTCTCTCTCCCTTTTCCAGCAAAGGAGGCTAACATTCATTTGTCTTGTGTTTTATGCTTTCTAAGTTCCCTAACTGTAACCTTCAACTTATTCTTTTGTGTGTACATAAGTAAACAATTAATGAATTAAAAGACACAATTCATCTTTTTGTGATTCAAAGCTGCAAAATAATACAACACAGTTTCCTTTATATAAAGCAAGAGTGTGGGAGATTAAACGCAAGAAAGAGACTACACTCAGCTGAGCAAGTTGTGGTTTGACTCTGCTTCATTCTCATCCAAAATCAAGCGAAAAGCAACTCTCTCTTGAGAGGCAACACGGTCTTGCTACTGAAGGAGTGCCAACAGTACTACTTTCTCTCTCGTCCTTCCAAATCATACCTACCTTGGGTCATGAGATTCTTAATGCTTTTATGATATCTATGCTTGAGATTTTCTTGGTCAAATATATTTATATATATTCTCACAATGACACATTCTCAAAATACTAGGGAGACAAATGAAAGCAAGAAAATATATCTAAAGATGGATAGACTGGTAGACCTACTTTAAAAGCAGAATGGAAACAGCATCTTATCGTTGTGTTAAGGAATGCCAAAGACTTTTCATATTGGATTCAAGCTTCTCCTCTGAGTCTTACAATTATCGGACAGATTCAGACGGAATGAAAAAAAAAAAGTATATAAATAAACAAAAATATACAAATATCTTCTCTCTCAGTAATATTTCAACAAGGCGCACTCTTCTCTCGTATAATTAGGAGGCCAGGTATTTGAATTTGAATCTTTTTCTCTTCTCCTTTCCCTTTATCAAAATTCATTTCTCTTCCTTCCTCTCTCTCTCTCTCTCTCTCTTCTTATTTCCATTCCAGATAAGAACGTTGATTTACTAATCCTCACATCTTTTTTATCCTTTTTAAATTCCAACCTCTAATTCATTGCCGAATATGCATTATCTTGACAAAGCTTCAGTCCACACCAAACCTACACGATGTCCTGCCCCTTTTACCTGTTGTCTGAAATCCACCACCACACCAACTTACCTGTTCCTTAATCAACTTCTGCTTCTGTTTTTCTTGTTCTCTTTCCTGCAAATACGTGATGATAATTAACAAAAGGCACAGTGGAATCCATATTAAAATTATGACTTTTCTTCATGAAATTACCAAGATTTGAGCAGATCGGTTATAAACTCAGGCTACGACAAGGGAACAGAATTGCACTCCTAGATGTGTGTTTGGGGGGGGGAGGGGGTCCCATACAATTTAATCTAATCACTGACCCAAAAACACTTACCAAATTCAAACTCTATATAACCCCCAGTGTGAAAATATGAAAGATATATATATATATAAAAATTAATACAGCCTCATAGAACAATCCAAAAAAGAAAGAAAGACAGAAAGACAGAAAGAAAGACAGAAAGACACAAAGAAAGAAAGAAAGAAAAGAAAGAAAGAAAAGAAAGAAAGACACAAAGAAAGAAAGACACAAAGAAAGAAAGAAAGAAAAAAAGAAAAAAAGAAAAAAAGAAAAAGAAAGGAAAATGAAACTAAACAAAATGCCTGCAGGTGGCACCTTGGCTCCTCCCACCCAGTGCCTCTCCAGCTGGACACGTGACTCACCTGTGCCTTTCTCAGCTGCTCGTAGAGTCTCTGCCGGTTCTCTTCCTCCCTCTGCTTCCGTAATTCCTGCACGAGAGAGTAAGCGGTTAGCCCTTCAATTCCTACTTTCCCAATAAGAAATACTTTCAAAATCCATAAAATTAACAATATTAATAATAACAATAATTACAATACCAATAATGATAATGATAAAAATAATAATAATAATAATAGTGATAATAATAATAATAAAAATAATAAGATTGATCATAACAATTATAATGATAGTCATAATAATGATAATGACAATAATAATAATAATAGTAAAAACAATAATTACCATTACTATTATTATTATAATAATCATAATAATAATTATTATGATTATTATAATGATCATAATAATGATAATCATAATAATCATAAAACACAATAGTAGTTATATTAATATTCATAATAGTAATCACTATAATAGCAATCATATACTAATGACAATACTAATACCAGACGGAAAAGAAACATCCATCAGACTCGCACCTCTTTTTCTTTCCTGAGTTCCTCCTGTTTCTTTAGTCTTTCCTGTTCTCGCTGTAATCTGGAAAGAAAGCACCGGAGACGCGTTAGGTCATGTTGACAGGCAGAGTCTTGAGTATGAGCAGAGGCATCGTAATCCAAAAGGACAATATTTGAGTTTATTTAGAAAATGCGATAAATATAAATGAAGAGGAGGAGGAGAGGGAAGATGAAGAATAATTCAAAATATCAGTTCTGAGAAATAGGAGAATGTCATCCAATAAAAAGAATATCAGAGGAAAGAAAAATGAATTAATAAATGTGACTCTTACTACCGTTTATAGTCAATAAGAAGGAACAATAAGAGCACACTTTATCTAACTTAATATCTAAATAGCTCAAACTTGGCAGCCCTTTCTTCCCTACATGCAACCAAACATTGAACAAACTGCAACTCAATGTAAAAGCCTACAACACTTATAACTCTCTGGACTCCTTCCTATATTCTGAATTCCTAATAATCATTCTCTCTATAAACCCTTTTCCTTCTCCATGGGAAATCTACATCAAATACAATCTATTCTGGATCAAGTACAATCTCTTTGGTCTCTCTTCACAGTGATACAATTTGCAAGATAAATGAGCATCAGAGAGGGGCCTTTACAACAGACAAATAAAGCATAGGCATCGGCTCTGAATTACCTTGACCCTTTTACCACATTAAGCAATGGTCACACTAGGTGCAACAGGTTAGGGATCCTAGGACAGCCATGCACATTGTCTAGTGAGGTCTAGGTCAGCCAATGGTCACTCAAGCTTGGCCCAAGCCTTAAAAAACGTTTATACCACAGTCCTTGAACAACTATTCTGTGTTCTCACGCAATGGGCTGGTATACCCTCAAGCCACTTTTGGGAGGTTTTCCTGCATCCGAATGCTTTTGAAAAATGTTTTAGTAAAGTGCGAGTTATTATAGTTGCTCTGAATAAATAAAAAATAAGGAGACAAAAAATAGTTAACTTTTTTCAAAGAGACTGATTATTTTTAAATATTTTACCGTAAACTGGAAACTTCATTGTCATTCCTAATAAGAAATGCAAAAACAGTATGGATATGCAGAGTACGGTCAAAGGTTAAATAAATGAACGTCAACATCCCTGAATCACATCACTGTAAAATCTACACTTTTCACATTAATTAGCATTAAATTGGTCTCATCTTTAAGCTCTAATCCTGTGACTTCCTATAACCACTAAGTACCACAGGACTACTACACGTATCAGAAGCAATTTCTCCATTCTCTGAAAAGGTATAAATAAGAATGAATATCTTCACAATACAAGAGATCTATCTAACCAGTTTCAATTCTATCTCTATCAGAAACACAATAGAAACTGGTCATATACATCTCTTGTATTGTGAAACATTCATTCTCATTAATAACTT